CAACTCAGGTATCTGTTTCTAATTTTCTATTATTAAAATAACTATTCATTTATCTACGCATTCATTTTTTATAGCATAGGCAATGTGAAAACATGTTTGAATACAAACGCTTTCATCTTCTAAAATATGAAGTTAGCTCTTCTAGAGTTTTATAAACTGAGTAAACAGAATAAAGCCGGCTATTGAAATCCAAATATAAACTCAGAAATACATAGAATTATAAAGTAAAATAATGATATATGTATAGAAATAATTTTGATTTAAATTCACTCTAAATATATTGATAACGTAATGTTTTATGTCTTATAATACAACTAAGAAAATAATAATTACCCTAATAATTAAGACCAGGATAATATTTAGATTTACAGTTTACAACTTTTATTTTTAGTTACACACCAAATAGCGTAATATTGTACAAAAATTTCTAAATATTGTACAATATTACAATATTTGGAAATCTATTCCAATTTAATCTTTTGCACCCTGGGGTTCCCGCCAAACCCTCATCAACATGTTTTTGATCTTCCTTGCTTTATTATCTGGTTCAAACTTGTTCCTCTTTTCTTATTGGTTGTAGGTGTGCTAGGCATGCTTTGCTACCATTAGGTATTTAGATACTGAGGAAGGATGTTTTTTTATAGAATTAAAACTGTAGTATGTCCATTTCTATACTTTGACTAGTGCTTTATTCACGTTAATGTTTTTGTTTTAGTCACAAAGTATAGCCTATCCTTTTTGGAAATATGTTTAACTTTGGATATCATATTATTAGCAGATTAATTATAACTTTCAGAATATGTTTCAAAATATATCTAACTCAATGATATACAAAACAGACGATGGGTTTGTAGTCGTCTGAATTAAATTCAGATAATACGTACTGTATATCGCTTATTTAAAATGCCAGGTAGAATTAAGATTTTTTTTTGCAATTAGAGTAAAATTAAAATTTGCTTTAAAATTATTTTTGATAAATAAGTGACATTTGTTATAAGTATATTATATTGATGAAAATAAACTACCTAAAAGACTTTTCTTTGAGGGAATGCGTGAAGCTTTTTATCTTGCATAAAGGTAATATAAACAAGTAAAGTTTAGGAAACAACTGGCTAGAAAAATACTGTTATTTGTCTTTCAAAGTTATTTTCGGTTTTATAAAAAAATAATAAAGAAACACAAGCTGACTCATTAACACATAGTAAACAAATATAAAATAGTGTTCACTACACAATGCATTTCTGAAATAACGACGCAAAGTTAATACGCACATTTTGTTTTTAAAGTTTAACATTATATTGCCACAAAATTCAATTAAAAAAAGTTATTCACTCCGTATTGGCGATTTCAAAAGTATCGGTAAAAAAAAAGGAGAAAAAAAAAAGGAAACGCGTCAATCTCAATAAGTTTTTTGTGCATTAAATTACCTTTGCGTGTCACAGTGTGAAAATAATTAGGTTTCTTTCTTCTTTTTTTTTTGCAAATAAAGTTGCCTAATCTTTACGACTTTTGCAAGACATATACAACTTACGATTAATAAATTCAAGGCCAATTTTTTTTAAATTCAAGCTTGAGAAATATTACAAGGTTTGTTACAAAAACGTTTTAATATAGTAATTAATTTCATTTTAGGTGATATATGTAAAATGTAAGTTACGGAGTTTTTAAAAACGATACGCAAATCATATTTATTTGCTAAGTTTCAGAAACAGTTGAGGAAGAAAGTTTTTTTAAAAAATTGTTTTCATTAAAATTAGCTTATAATCATTAACTGAAAAATATTTTCTGACATTATGTTAAAAAATTAGCAATAAGTTTAAAAAAAATGTTTTCATTGGATATTTTGTTTTTAATTTTTCGTAATAATATTGCAGTTGTTTTTAAAAACAGTTTCGAAGGTTAGCAAACGCAAAAACGTTTTAACTGCATTTAATTTTTAAAGTTTACTATTTTAAAAGAAAAGTAGTTAGAAAACACTTATAAATATTTAACTTTAATTTTTTAGGCGCTACTAAGCACTTGATTTTTGATGTTTCGATAGCAATTCCTGAAACATTTTAATAAAAATTAGTTATAAGCATCTGCGTACTCCAATACAATATTGCAAGGCCGGGATAGCCTGGTCGGTAGGGCGCTGGGCCCATATCCAAGAGGTCGTAGGTTCGATCCTCGCCGGCCGAAGACTCCCCGTGTAGTAAATGGTGACTGATGCACGTTAAATCTGTCGAGTCTCAAAGTCCTCCATGTTCCCACAACAAATCAATACCTCTGGGGGTACTGATCCAGGAGTTTCCTTGTCTTCTGGATTGGTTCAAAATTACAAGGCTACGGAGTTGAACGTTAGTAGTCGTAAACCCAAAAAATTGGGTCGGCTGTTCAACGACGGTTATAAAATAAAATAAAATACAATATTGCAATGAGGATAACATAAACGTCTCTTTTTGAGTTTATTTAAAAAACATTATTCTGCAAAATGCTTAACTTTTTTCGTAAAATACCACAGTTTTAGTTCTGAAAAATTATTTAATTCGTGATCATGCAAAATTTATACACTCTATCCGATCCAATAAAAAAGAGGGTGTCGCCGTTTGTTGTCTAAGTTGGTTTTTAGCCAATCCTTCATTAATGAGCAAGCGTGCATTTAATTTATATTAGCATTAAAATTAATTATTAAATAGCTTTTTCTTGAGAAGAACGGATATAATTAGAGTATATAAGTAGTTATCAATAAAAAAAATATCAAGATTTCATGGTCTTTCGCACGTGGTAGAGCATACCACATCACGATTTGAGATTAATTCGGAGGAGTTGCAATGGGAGCACGAATCTAGATGGTGTTGTTATTGCTAACCATCAGGTGTGTTGATTTTACCTTCGACCATCTGTTATAATGTGACATACACTATAATTGTTCACATAATTTATCTCAAATAACATAAGTTAAAAATTTCATTTGTTAACTTTTAATTTTATAACCGTCGTTGAACAGCCGACCTAATTTTTGAGCTTACGACTACTAATGTACAACTCCGTAGCCTTGTAATTTTGAACTCAATCCAGAAGACAAGGGAACTCTTGGATCAAATATTGGGAGAAATGAGGAATTAGGAGACCCATGATCCGTCTACCACTCAGGATATTTCACGTCAGTACTGAGGTCGGTGCTTGCCGGATATGGATTCTTATCGACCAGATATCGCTGCGATTCGAACTCGGTTCACCTCATTGTTCGCTCCATAGAGCGCTCTATACCCTGAGCCATCGCGTCTTTCATTTGGTAACTTGAGATATCTTGAATGAAAAAAAANGCCGTCTGCTGCTAAGGAAACAAGAATAGCGAATTTCAGGGAGGGTAGCTTCTCTTTACTTTAGGGCAGTGTTTCCCAAACTTATGACTTTTGTGTACCCTTTCTAAATTTTTCGTAATGCTGTGTACCACTAATAAAAAAATGAGTGTATTTTTTACTATAAAAAAAATTGCACAAAAGTTAAAAATCACAACTGGCTGTTGACACCACTAGTTATTAACTGTTAACTCTGCAAAAATAGCCAATAGAAAAATACGTAATCGTAAATTTTCATGGCTAGCTTTGTTTTGAAATAATTTTTTTTGAAATTTTCGTTTTTTGCAAGATGTTTCGCATAGGAACGTGTACCCCCTCTAAACTGTTCCTGTACCCCTGGGGGTACGCGTACCACACTTTGGGAAACACTGCCCTGAGCCATCGTGTGATTTTTCATTACTTCTTTCATCAACTAACTCCACACGCCCTGATAGTGGATGCGAAAACTTTTTTTTCATTTCTGAGTTAATACAAAAAATTATTTTTTTAAAGGCTATAATTCGGATTAAATGTACATTTTAAGGTCAGTAAAGCTAGTAACGGATATTCTGCCACAAACTAAAGGCGATAGTAATAAAAACGTAAAACATCACATGCGCACGGTAGCAAAAATAAAAGGAGCTAGAAACTATGACTCACTCAAAATGGTTAAGGGAGTTAAGTTAAGGGAGAAGAGGACGGCAAAATTTAGCACGATGAGAATGAGGACAAATGTCATATATGTAGAACAATGAATAAGTAAACGAACAACGAGTAGAAGTTTAATAAAATCTAATTAATAAAAACTAAACTTAAACATGATAGTTGGCATAACTCGGATCATATGTCCTCGCTTAGTATATAAAGTCTGAAAAAAAAAAAAAGGTTTGAAACAGTCCCGGCTAACTATTATTATACTACTTAATAATAAGTCAAAGGCAAACTGCGTCATACTGGCAGTGCAGCTGATTTAAAAAGATATTATTTGCCCCTCCCCCCTTCTTAGGAGGACAATTTTAACTTAAAACATTTCTAAGGGGTTATTTGTGCCGTATGCTGCATTCGGTAGTCATTAAAGTTTAGCTCATTATTACACAGTGACAGAAATGAAAGTTTAAATGCCATAAATGTATTGTTACCAATAATTTGTTTAAACAATGCGTAATTATTTAAAAATTTTAAGTAAATAATGCAAAACTAGTGAAAAGCAGTGTTTTTTTAGTATAATCTTGACAATAAAAGTATATGAAATGTTAAAAATATTTTTTATGTAAATAAAATATCTTCTATAAAATAACGAATCTCTTCTTTCTTTAAAAAAAAAAATTAGAAATTTAAAAAAATAATAGTATTCATTTTACATCACAAATACAAAAAGTAGTTATAAGAAAATAAGACGTTTGTAACTAAACAACAATCTGTTGAGTACTACAGAATACTTCTTAAATATCACGTAAAAAAAGGAAAAAAATTACTGCACGTGAAAAAAAAAGTATTAAAAATTATAATGTTTCAATTTTGCTGCACTTTGTTTTTAGTTGAAGAAAAAATTAAAATCATAAAAATAAACAAATAAATTTAAATTACCTGCAAGAACAGTCGTACAAATTTATCCAAAATCGAACGAATTATGACCATAAACCAACTATAAACAAACTATAAACAAACAACACTCACAGAATCGTTGTTCTGATGCTGTAATAGTCGTTGCTCTGTAAGACACTGTTTTTCCAATGAGCGGATCCAAATGTTGTGCCAACTTCTTTCCAAATGAGTGGCAGCACGCCGTAAGCGATTTGAATCGATAGTGGCGCCCTCCAGTGAATCGCATTGTCGTACCAGGGAGGTGAGTTCTTTGCCACGACCCTCGATCTCTTGTTGAAGATCCTGCAAACGACATAAATAATAAAATAAATTTTGCGATCATTTAAATATCATTTTTAACTGAGCTTTTATTTTTAATTATACCATTTTAAAAGAATTTGCGTTATATCTAAACGTAATGTCATCAATAAAAAGAATATTGATTTTAATATTCTTAGAATAAATTAAAAAAAATATGTTCTTTACTATTATTTTTTTTAAAATCTTAATTAAAGAGAGATATCAGTCTTGGTTTCATTTTCCCCTGGTATTTTATCCTCAAATCATGATGGAACTTGAAACACTTTTTTTTTTCAATTTTAAAACGAAGTATCTCAAAAACTTCGTTAAGATAAATGCATAAAGTTAGGATTGAGCATTTTTAGATAAATTTTTCTTTTGGAAATTAAAAAACAAATTATACCTTTTTATCAAACTTAAAATAAAAGTGCATCTTAATTTTTTTTTCAATTTCAGAATATTTAGAAGATTTTATAAAAATTATTAGCAAATAATGCTCACATTTGAAAATATACATTTTCGGTGTTTAATATTTGAAAGAATTAATTATAATAAAAAATGCATTTATTTTATTTTGTTTTATTTTATATGTTTAATATCTTAAAGAAGTAATTATAATAAAAAGCTGCAATTATAATTTTAGATTTTTTTAAAACTCATTTTTTAAAGTAAATATTAAATAATGCCGATGACAAATTGAAGAATGAATATATTTATTCAAAATGGTTTAAAAGTTAGACATTTTGAAGTGTAATATAAACAATGCAAAAATATAATTATATTCATAGTTTGAAAAAAGAAATATTTATTATATTTGAGTAGAAAATTTTGAATTATAATTGGATTTCCAATAAATAAATTTACATTAATTAGGAAGCTCTTATTGTTTGACTTTGAACATCATATGACACATAAATATAGACACAATGTTATTATTTATTAATAGAGTTGCATATTAATAGTTATATATTCCAGAAAACAATAAAACTTGCCACTCATAATCGAGGTTTCAAAGAGCCAATGGTTTACAATTTAAAAATAAAGACGCATTCGTTATAAATAAAATCACAATTTCCTTTTTAAAATAATAACATTAATTTAGCATCCTTCATTTATATACGTCAGACTTCCCGAAAGCAAATCACGTAATAAACTTATTTTAAAAAGTTTAAAAGAAACAACTTTTCTAAGGTTCTGCCCAAAAAAGTTAGGAATAAAGCATTTAGTGTCACTTAAAAGAATCGAAATTGAATAGAGTAATTTTAGTTGAAATTTTAGTAGTTCTCTTGAAATAAATTTCTTCTAAATGTTAAAATTAAAATTACGCCAGTATTTCATCAAAAACTGATATTTAAAACCGCAATTGTATTTTTTTAAACATAAAAACTCTTCTTCAATTAAACCAAGAGCTGCTTATCATATATCGGCTTCCAAAATCGTGGTTAAAACTAATGACCCTTGTTAACCAATTTAACATTTGTTTTTAAAATAAGGAAACATATATAATAATAATATTGAATTATAATCTTACAGATAAAACCTCGTTATGTTTTTCTTTTAAAAAGAAATTAATTTTATGTGTTAAAATAACATTATCAAAACAATCCTATCATTCTTGTTTTTAAAAGAGATAAGTGTTAGTTTTTATCTCGGAGAAAAACATAGTTGTTCTTATCTTTTCCTATTACCCCAAACTGTGAAAGTTAATAGTTACGATCATGAAAAAATAAAGAACTAAATATCTGCCGTGAACCAATTACAAGAACACTTGTTTCTTTCACCTCTAAGGATATTCTGCTATAAATCAGCCAGCGGGTTACAAAAAGAAGGGGCCTCGGATAAGGATAAAAAATTAATATTTTTTCAATCAACACCTGTTTTTTTTAATGTTTTTATTCATAACAGATTAATATATAGTTCGGTATAAGAATTAGTTTTAACTATATTCCTTGGGAAGATTCTAAAAACATAATAATAATAAACTGAATAACTCTTATAAAAGTACTTGAAAGACGTAGTACAAAGTACTACGAATATTACAGTTCCAAAATAAATTAATATTAAAGTATCAAAGCACTTTAATTTATTTGATGATATAATATGGAGGGGTTAATAAGGAAGTAAGATGAACTAATCTATACATTAATTAAACAGAATTTAAGGCATATATTGGCTAACATTTTCTTATTTTTACTAGATTTTTTGCTGAAGGGATATTGAGCAAACTAATTTGCTTTATTACAGGTCCGATTTGGACTACCTTTCAGTAACCTAGTGGAGGCTTTTAGTTATAGGAGGCAAAGACGGTACTAGCATTTATAAAATTTCCGATACATCGAATTAGATTTTAAATACGTAATAATGATAATAACAATAATAAAAATAAACTGGACATCTCTTATCAGAGTGTTTGAAAGACTTACTTTGCTATTATTTATTTGAAGAATTAATCTGTGTTGGTTAACAAAAGTAGGATGAACCAATCAAATCATTAATTAAACAGATTTTAAGGTAGATATACTGACTCCCATTTTCTTGGTTTTACTAGATTTTCTACTAAAGGGATATTGTGCAAAATAATGTGCTTTATTACATTTCCGATTTGGACTACCTTTCAGTAACCTAGTGGAAGCTTTTAGTTATAGGAGGCAAAGACGGTACTAGCATTTATAACATTTACGATACATCAAATTGGATTTTAAATACATAATAATAATAATAACAATAATTATAATAAACTGAACATCTCTTACCAGAGTATTTGAAAAACTTACTTTGATATTAATTTATTTGACGAATTAATAGGTGTTGGTTAACAAAAGTAGGATAAACCAATCTAATCATTAATTAAGCAGATTTTAAAATAGATATTGGTTACCATTTTCTTGTTTTTACTAGATTTTCTATTGAATAGCTATTGCGCAAACTGGTTTGCTTTAATACTGGTCCGAATGGACTACCTTTAAGAAACCTGGGGGAGGCTTTTAGTAATAGGAGGCGATAACGGCGCTCGATTCTCAAACATTCACAAAGCATTACTTTTTACTACCAGATTTAATAAAACCTCTGTCATTTGAACGCCGTGAGTTCGCTACACTAACTTTATTTGCATTTCACACATAACGACTCGTCAGGGAATGACGTACATCACATCATATAGTACCGACTAAATCGAAAATTGAAAAAGAAAATTTTAAGATGCATAACACTCAATTGACGATTAGTGTTAGCCTGACAAAGCATAATAAACACCGAACAGGAGTAGCAGATCGTTGTAATTTTTTCGACTTAAAAAATTTTATATTCTTTATGCTTAATAACTGAACCAAACGCTTGTTTAAAAATAGTAAAAAGTTTCTGAAAATCTTAAGATTCTGAGCCGTTCTTAAGTGAAAGAGCTCGGGCTCGAACTAAGTCTGTCTCATCTCTAGTTCAAAAGGCCCATAACAGGGCCTTTTTCTATCCGTAAACCATGCCGAAAATGTCACGAATAGAAAATAATCAGTCTCTACTCGCCACGTGGAGAGTCAACAAAAAGATGAGGCGACTTAAACTAAACAAACAACAGGTCACTTTATCCCCATAATTTATTTCTTGAAAATCATTCAAAATTTCGAATTTCAATTTTAAAAATTCAGAATCCATCAATTTGTGATAGAAAGATTCACGTAGAAGAAAAGTTCTTTAACAATTCACATAATTCGAAGTTATAATGTAACATAATAACTAATCTATACATAAATGTATTTCGCCTTCCCAAGTAATTTCAAATAAAGTTCCACAAAGCCAGTATGCTTAACGAAATTTTTTCACTTATTTATTTTAATTTTATAGTTGAATTAACGTTTTATACTGGTACAATATTTCTAATATAAATTTTATTAAAAATATAATCTAATCCAACAGAAAAAAAATTTGCAAAAAGTGTCTATTAAATGAAAAGGACCTATCGATATCGGTCACACACTCATTAGCTTTGAGGAAAAAGTGACTACTAAGTTATTCAAGACTACTGGCCACTGGCTACTAACTGAAAATTAAAATCTTATGCCACGAACAGACCAGGTCAGTAGGAAGAACTGAATGCTCAAAAATGTCTGTTTCTTTGCTCCAAACGGAAACACTTTTAGTTTGTTTTCTAAAAGAAGATGCAACGCTAAATTGGTTAAAATAGGCAAACAAAAGCTGTGGTGGCTCAGGGGAAAGAGCTTTCGTCTTCTAATGACGTAAACCGGGTTCGACTCCCAGCGATGGCTGGTCAATGCAAATTTCACACCCGGCTTGCACCGACCACAGTGCTGACTTATAATATACTCAGTAGTAGACGGATCAGATGCTAGAGTCTTCTTGCCGTCAGGCTAACAGTGGAAGGTTTTCTTGATTATCCTCTCCATGTAACGCAAATGTGGGTTTGTTCCACCAAAATCTCGTTCATTTTCTCTCAATACTTGATCCAGGAGTTGAATTCCTTTGTCTTCTGGATTGGGTTTAAAATTATATGGGTTGAACATTAGTAGTCGTAAACTCTAAATTGGGTCAGCTATTCAACGACGGTTATAAAATAAAATAGACCAACCTAAGATCTTTTTCCTGAGAAATCTCAATCAAATAAATTAGTAAACAATTAAAAATAAGTAACACAGAATTTTCCTTGACAAAGTTTTGAGTAAGTCCGTAATTCGAAATACGTAAGATAAGATAAGAAAAAATTTACATGTTTCTAATTATTAGGCAAAAACTAAATTTACTTATAAAATATTTAATAAGTATGATGTAATACGTTTTAAATTAAAGATGACGTAAGATTACCTTTAGAAAAGCAACATAACGGTAATTTAAGCACATTGGTGCTATTATTAACTCCTAAGCTTTATTTTCCATATATTTGCATAAAATACTTAATAGTTCACAAAGGTGACTTTGAATAATTCGAATAATTCGTTCACGTACAATATTCAATTTGTTGACCTCAATAATTGTTTAACTTGCACTTCGAATCTTGT